GTTAAACTCCAGCAGGATGCAGAAATTACTGGCAGCGGCTAGGACACACCTACAGGGCAAAAACAGGTATTATAACACTACAATAATTATAACAGCACACACACTATAAACCAACATACTACTGGCTGTGGCTAGCACACACCTGTGTAAAAACACAACAAGTTACATTTAAGCTAGCACACACCTGGATGGACAGGAACACAACATACTACTGTAACAGTTACTATAAATGTGGCTGCAGACTGCAGACTTTTGTAATTACTGGCTGTGGCCAGCACACACTTGGGCGGGCACATAAACACTTACTAAACTGTACTACCACATACCTGGGCAAGACAACACACCACCTCTACATAAGGACCACCTGGCCAATGTGTTCACTTTTTGATTTCCTTACTTAGTATATTTTTCCTATCCACACATCTAGCATCTAAATTAGAAGCTATTCTACTGTTAATGTAAAGAGACCACCGTAGTACTAGTAATGTATTGTGCTGCAAGTTTTGACTTCATTGATTTGAGGCTACACCCATGTTAGTGCATGGTTGTAGTTTCTACTTGTCCTAGATTTGCCAGTTTCTGGGTTATGTATAGGGTGTTGAAATCTGCCATAAATTTTCTATCCACAGTTGATGTAGATAACCTAGTTCTAAACACAAACGATAATTATTCATGGAAAAAACAATATTATGCTGCAGCCAAAATGTGTTAAACATATTATTACATTTTCACTGCCTAAAACTTCAAGGCATGCCAGAAATTGTGTCAGAAGTAATTAGCATATTAGTAGCATTACACTGTGAATTTAAACAGAAATCATATTTTAAACACAACTGTCTGATGTCCATGGATACAGGTCATGTTGGTCAGAGACACATAATTATCACATACCTATTAAGAGATTATACATGTACTGTCACTTTTTGACCTGGAGGCAAATAATGTCCTATCTTTGCCTTATTTATTCGCATTGTACCAAAAATGGCTGGCTTTCCCAGTATTGAAATGCATTCTAACATGGGCTAATTATTGTCCCCAATTTGCACGTAGCCAATATTTCACACACATGACTTGTTGCAGGATTATCTCACTTGACTGTCACGAAAAGTGTCTGTTTCTACATATTGTATGTGTGCAGTTAGACATGATTTAAATTTGTATCAGATTCCTTAAAGTTAACAGACTTCACGTGGTAGCGTATGTAATAAACAATAGGAATATCTACAACAATTCATTTAGACAACAAAGACAACAACTGTCAAAAAGACGTTAAGGGATACGTTCAGTAATATCTAGCATCAAAAGAAACCCTGATTTCTAACCCGTATCTTCTACACCAAACCCCAGTATCCTAAATCTCTCTTGTTATGTTTACAGTGATATCTTAGGACAACGTTGGCTTCAGACTAGTAGGCTGATCCTTTGAATCAGTGTTTTAATTAGGCTTACAGGTGAAGTAGCTATCCAGGTCAACACAACCCCTGTAAGGTATTACTATAAACTTGGGAGCTTCAGGAGAAAGATCTAACCTGTGAGCTGGATATTTTCAATCCTCAGCAACTATGATGATATCATTGAATCAGTGTTTTGACTAAGGCTTACAGGTGAAGACTGAGTGACAGAGAGACAGGTAAAGTAGCTAATAGCTATCCAGGTCAGCACAACCCCAGAAGGTATTAATATAAACTTGAGCGCCTCAGAAGAAAGCTCTCACCTGTGAGCGGGATATTTCCTATCCTCAGCGACTATAATGATATCACAGTGCCTCCCAGCCTGCTGTTGTAACGCCAGGTTCTGTAGTATCTGTCGTCCGAAGTTCAGGCTGAGGATTGTACTACCGCACGGCAGCTCAGCCATCTTCAAAAGGTACAGCCCAACCAACTGATGCATATTCATGTGCCACTGGGAGGACCGGTCTATTATCCAGGAGGGGGGGTTGTTTATTGGTGATTATCCCTTTGTGTTGGAGTGCTATCCAAGGTCATCATTTTTTCATGGCCTCAGGATTAACTACTGAGGGCAATGAACAACTCTTTTTTGTTCTCTTTCTTTTAATTTGCAAGTAGAGTGAGGTAGCATAATAAATTTTAAAATGGGACAGGGAATTTTGCTCTTTAATAATTGTGAGCCATGTATCATCATTTTCTTGATTGCTTGAGAAAATGTGGATTAGGTACGGAGCAAATAGAACTACCCTTTTTTGTTCTCTTTTTTTCAGGAGCAAATTAGTACAATGTAGCCAAATATCTACTTAAGGGACAATTCAGGGCAAAATTATCATCTTTTCATCATTACATTTACAATGCACATTGCCAATGTAGAATGTAGATCCTATTGCAAATAAGCTAACTTTAATAAAATAAGCCAGGTTTGCAATCTCTCTGAGCCAAACCTACGGTAGTTTATTGCAGGTGTTTTCTATCTATTTTCACACAACTAATCCCCCTCTAATTATTCTGGACTGGTCCTCACAACTAGAGCCTTGCCCATTGGCACTTAGCCAATTCAGTCTTATTTACATCCAAATCACATTTTTCTCTGGAGCATCTTTCTCTTATGTAGAGACATGAACCATCACCTGAATCTAATTCATAACAGGATCAAGGGAAGAGTTCAAAGTGACACAATCCATAAACATTTTTGAACCAAACTCAACTCAAATATCAAAGTTATTTTAAGTTAGAAAATGTTGGCAATCATCATTTATTACGACGATGATTTGTGCCATTTTGAGAATAATTCTTAGAAATATTTTTCCATCATTTTTTCAGTGCAAAGTTCTTAATTTTCCCTCTTTGCCCCTCCTAGCTATACATGTCCTTTCAAGTGTGTCTCTAAAACTTACTCAACCGGTTTCCTTTGAGTGTAAGGGACCATTATTACTGTAACTTACTGTACAACATGTCACAGAGGATGCCTTTTCCAACATAACATTTGAAAACTACAGACGGGATCTTAACCTTATATTACACGAATATAACCAGTTATATGAGACATTCTGCCGAAGTGATATGCACAATACATTATTGGTTTTGCGCAGGTGCAGTACGTTCTGCCAACATGCTGTCCATATACATGTACACCCAGTATTTCCAGCCCTGTGGATTAAGTCACACATAATTTCCAGCCCAATGGCAGTATGTTACATAAAGAGCCACCACTGGAATAGACAATGAAGCTACAGCATTAGAAACGTTGGTCCAGCCTTTATAAACATGGTATATGTCATGAATAAATGATGGCCTCTGAATAATACATGTGTTTTGATTTCGAATGCATAGGATCTGAATAATTTATTATTGGCTTTTCCATTAGAAGCTAAAACCCGCACACGCGGCGTTTTATGCATCAAACCGTGGAATGTGGGGGTAATTTGTGTGGCTAAAACAGGCAAGAGCGGATTAACCAAAGAATTGCTGTGTCTGTATGTGGTGTACTAAAACACTGGGAATTTGTTTTTCAACATAGCAATTACTTTAGAGACAACAAGGACAAATTTTACGATCCCTCGGTTTAAAGTCTGTTTTATGATTATAGTGACCTTTTAGGCAGTGTTTTTTTACATCCTGATGAGTTTGTACATTTTCCTTTCCATCTGTTGTTAGGAATTTTTCTGTCAACCAACCTTTTTTGTTGAGAAAATAGTATATTAGCTGTAACAGTGGGGGGGTATATAGGCGCTACCAACTAATCCGGCAAATGGGTCTACACCTTTTAGCGGAGAGGTTAGAGTGTCTGACTGGGGCCCGGGAGGTTGTGGGTTCGAACCCCGGCCTGGGACCAGTGGGGTTTTTACTGGCTCCTCCTGTTTGTTACATAGCTAATATCGTCAACCTTCAAGTTAAGTTGGTGGATTTTGGGAGTTTCTTACGAGTATATCATACCAGTATATAAATTATTAATACCTTCTTAATCGGCAGAATATACTACACATATATCATGCTTTTATTCCATCTAATGCAAGTCATTTATACACATTATCTATATGGTATCCACCTCACATTTGTTTGGTATCATTCATGCATTTCACTCTAAGCTGCTAATAGCTGCCCAGTGCACTCTGCAGGTAATTTATGACAATTGCTTTCTAAGTGTAATTTTGTAGCCACAAGATTAATACACTAGACAAGTAATCATAATAATGATGATTGTAAGGTCTGTAACGGAGTTATGAATGGCCATCTGGTCAAATTCCAGCTTACATTTTACAAAATGGTGATACTTATATTAACTTGGGTATTATTGCATTCTAATACAATAACCGAGGGTGACCTGTGGCCAGAGGACATTGCCAACCTGGCGGCGGATCGACGGTCGTGGGGAAGACTTGTGGTCGACTGCTCCGCAGCCGGACGATGATGATGATGATGATGACAATAACTACATATGTATTATATATAATGATAGCAGGTGTTCCATATTATGGCCATTGTTGGTTATTCCATTGTTTCATCCCCAAGGGAGTCAAGAATTGTGTTTGGTGTGTCTTCTGTACATGTGTGCATGTCTGTGTATGTCTTCATGAATGTGTGTATGTGTGTGTCTATGTGTGCATTTGTGTGTGTCTGTGAGTGTGTGTGCATGTGTATGTGGGATGTGTGTGTCTTCGAGTATGTGTGTGTGTCACCATCAGCATGTCTGTGTGTGTGTGTGTCTGTGTGCACAATGCGTGTATGAGTGCATGTGTGTGTGTTTGTGTGTCTGAGTGTGTGCACAATTTGCGTGTCTTTGAATGTGTGTGTTTGTGTGTATGTGTCTGTGTAAATGTATGCACATGTGTATCTATAAGTGCACGTTTGTGTGTTTGTGTGTTTGTATGTGTGTGTGTCTGTGAGTGTGTGAACGTGTGAGTGTTTCTGTGATTCTCATAATCATATCAACAGACAGTTTACAGCAACACACTTAGTCTGAGTGCAGTGTACAGCACATCATCAGCCTGGTAGAGGCTTTTTTCAGGAATTCCCAGTTCAAGTTTAAATTTCTTGTTTGCCCTTGCCCAGGTGAGGACTCCTGCTGCCCCCCTCCCCCCTAAGGACCAGGCATCTCTTGCTCAGGAAGTGGAGATGCTGAGAATGAAAGAGGCGGGACTGAAGGAGCAGGTGGAGCGGCTTCAGCAGGAGTAGGTTTTCTGGTTCTATTCTACCAAATTGTAATTCACTATGTGTTAGATTTCATATTACATTATTTTTGTATACATTTTAAAGTAAAAAGCAACAAGTTTTCAATCAGTCTGAAACTGTGACCATGAAATCACACAAACTCTGTTAGATGAGTGAATGAAATAAGAAGCTGTGGATAGATTGTCATGACAATGAATTAAACTAGTGCTACACGTACAAAATGTATTCACAAACATTCAAACTTCTTTGCAAAAGGATAACATTTATGCACAACTATTTTATACAGCAATATTTTTTTTCAGAGGGTACCATGTCGATGAATGAGCACCAAAGGGGATTCTTAAGTAAACATTAATCACATTAATTACTGTTCATTTGAGGGTACCAGCAAATAATGACATTAATGAGAATATTGGGAACTATTTTTCCAGAGGTTACGATGAGGCTGACCTGCCTGAGTGCACCCGGATGCTGCACAGGTACAACGAGATGAAAGACGTGGGACAGATGCTGCTGGGCAGACTAGGTCAGCAGTTCTAGAACTTTCTTCTGTGTTTGTTCATTTGTTTATTACAATTTTTCATTTCGTACAATGGAGGGGGAAAAAGAAAGTGGAGATGTGATGAAGCTGAATAGGTGTGGTCTGTCTTTATTATCTTTTACCTATACCGTGGCGTCGGGTGGCGTAGTGGTAGGTCATTCGACTGTGAACCGGGAGACCCGGGTTCGATCCTGAGTCGTACCCGGGACATGTCTGAACATGCGCCCCGACGTTGTCCCCTTGGGAAAGACACTTTACACGACTTTCCTCACTCCACCCAGGTGTGAATGGGTACCTAACTTTGGTTGGGGAAAGCCTTATTGAGGTCACCTTGTGGCGCCGAATGGCAGCCGCACAGACCCTTGTGGCAGTGCCACAAAACTGTGGAACAAATATGTATCATAACATTGTGTATTATGTGTATTATTATGTGTACTATTACCATTTGTATCATCTGATTGTAAACCCTGCATCAATTCAGCACTATAAGGCTGCAATTGCACGGGTGATATTTGGCCAACAAACCATTTAATATTATTATTATTATTATTATTATCTTTTACCAGCCTTTCATTTTGAAACATTTTCCCCATTGCTGCTCTATTGAGATCGAAACGAAAGTGACCCAAGGTTTTGGTTTGAGTCTTCTGGGGGCTTGAGGCTGCAGTTTTTACATCTGCCACAAGGGGTCTCTGTAAAACAACCTCAGGGATTCCGAAGTACAGTGCTGTCAATCATTGCATGACCTAGAGTAACATGATGTTATGGATTTCAGCGTAGGAGCTCATCTGGACCTGTAAACTGTCTTTTAAAACCATTAAATATGCATGTACAATTAACATTTCTACTTAACAATTGAACATTCAATACTATTTCTGTCTCCTGTCCAGCTACCCTGGAAGGAGTGACCATGAGAGAGATGTACCAAAGGTTTGGGCTGGATCTGGAGGACTGAAGAAGTGGAACTCATCACAGCTGCAACTTTCTTACAGAAACATGAGTTTATTTCTGAAGTTCCGCTTCCTGGAATGACTGGACTTGGACACAGACATGTTTACATACCAGTAGACATGTCAGGGTAACAGCAAGGCATCCCTGATGTGTTGTTTTTGGAAGTTCTCCTTTCAGTCTGTTTGGCCCCAGAAAGTTCAGGCCCCTAGCTAGAATATTGTATGTTTAAAGTACAACTTAGCTTAAAGTGATGACTGCATAGCCCAGTGGCTTAAGTTGTTGCTATGCCAGAAAATTGAGACGATCAGTATTTAAATCCTGTCTTGCTGTTGTCTACCTGTCTGGCACCAAAGATATTGGAAAGGGATGTCGCAAGCCATTGCTACTAACAGTACATTGTACTTACCAAGAAAGGAAGGGAACTTTTCCTAGCTGAAAAGCTGTATGCAATAACGAAACAAAGAGCCGAGGCAATGACAGACATTTTGTAAAGTTTATTATTTGTGTTCCTTTACATGATATGGTGCATTGTAGAATATATATTCATGAATATTATACAAGAGAAAGTATTGGCATAGTGACAGAAGAGATAGATTACATAAAATCAAGACACAGACACCTCAAGAGTAATAATCAGGAATAATAACATTACAACAAAAACAAGAAAGCTGAACAACACAGATAAAGCCTGTATGTACAGCTTATTAAATGTAAATAAAACTTTGCTGTAGTTCACCCCAAAATTAGTTTTGAAGTCATGATTTTGCAACAATTTCCACAATTATTACAAATCTCAAAATCATAGTTTATAGTATTAGCTCACAATATGATCATCCTTTGGCAATTGTATTTAGCATATTTACATTTGTCTTAATTCCTTCAACCAGTGCTAATAGATTACTTGATAAAACTCATATAACAATGAGCGTAGTGTTAATGATACTATTGGTAATCACTTTTCATAATGACCACATAACTGATCACCTCCTATTAGTAATTATACTGAATGCAGATTAAGCTCCCTGGATTTCAAATATAATCATTTTAGGAAAAAGAACCAACAACTAAGTTTGGTGTGGCCCTAACACGTCATTGAAAAATAATATAACTACAATGTATGTACAGCAGCATTGAAAAGACTGGCATGTCAGATGCCTTAAGCTGGGCCCACCACAAGTTTCTTGTGGTCTTTCCCCCTTAAGACATCCAGTAGATGCTTGTCCAGTTAGTCTCGTACTAAGCTATGAAAAATAGTAGTGTATTTAAGCATGCAATATGCATTAAATATTGTAAACTAACTTCGGTGACAGGTGGTGCATACAACTGTGCAGTAAAATGAAACAAGCTTGAAGAAATTGTGTCAATCTCCACACTCGTGTGAGCTTGATTGTTCCAAACAATCTTGTTAAAATGTGACAATTGCAAACAAACAATATCAAACAGTAGCAGCATTGGCAGGAACACTATCATACAAAGTGCATTGTTCCCAGTTTTTTCAACAGTTTATAGCAAGCATACGGCCACAAGCAGAGGCAAATGCAAACCAAACATTCATGAAGACTGTCTCTCCCAAGTTTTGGGTACATTGTCAACAGTTTAAGTATTCTGACATACATAGGAATATATTCAATAGTCTGGTATGTATGTATGTCTCTGTGGCTACATGGTGTATGAAATGCTATAGCCATTAATTGAAAGCAGCAGTTTGGTCAAATTGTGCTATTCAAATACAAAGTAGGCTCAAATTCACCCTGAAAGTATGTAGACCAGTCCATGTAGGGACAAATTAAGACCTATGGATTGATTGATACATATGCCAAATCTCGCATTCTAAGGCCAAGACAAGATACACACTCAGATATTATTTTCCCTTTTTTTATGATGAAAGTATTTACTGGCATTTATACATAGATTAGTGAATTCCAACTTGTTGGCCATGATACTGCCTGCAGAGGCTTACTGAGGAGGTCCTCACCCCAATATTGACTCCCAAATGCTAGTCCACATTCCTGCAGAAGCAAGCAAAAGCACGACAAGTATGATACAGTTATTCTTTGCGGAGCCTACGACCACTCCGGGTGGATTGTGAAGTGCCTGGGCACGAATCCGTGTGGTGCGATGTACATGGCTCCCTTGTTCTCGACGCGACTGTTGGGCGGGTAGACGGGCATGTGGTGCCAGGTCTGATACTCCATCTTGTGGTGTCGTGTCTGCGGAGACAGGAGACGCCCCACCACGTACGGACCCAGCCTCGTGTGCCCCGCCGGCGCGGACTTACTGGTACCCAGCTTTATTGCAACTCCTGTTTTACCCCTGCGGAAAGATGGGACAGTCAAATGTTAGAGATGAAAAAAGATTAACATTTCGGTTACAGTCATTTCTGCTGACAGGTGACATCAGGTAAGATTTTCTTTTTCATTTGATCTGCCAATTATTGTTTCATTTGTATTCTTTCATGGACAATTTTTAAGATATTTAATCTAGTTTGTGTAGTATTTGATCCATTTTGTATTGAAAGGTATCCAATTTATATGTTTCATCTTTTCATTCATCCTTACATGAGATTTCATTCATCCTTACATGTACATAAGATTTCTATTCAGCTGTATTTGAGGGGAAAGGTCTACGCCTGATTCTTTACTTTTGTGACTACTGTAAAATGATAAATAGTATTAATACTCAAGTTATACTGCAGTTTCCTTACTTTGATGACTCCAGAGTCTTGAGTACCGCCTCCAGCCGGCTGCGTTTGGCGTGTCTGTCGGACGGATCGGTCGCCATCCCCGCCGGACCTCCCATTAGCTTCTGCCCTGCCAGGGACTTGAAGAACTCCATTGCCACTAACTTCTCTGGAGGGGAACAAGGAAGACGTGCGTATTGGTCACTGTATAGATGTCAAAGTTTAGAATTTTAACCAGTAGCAACCTACATTCGTTGGTCATTATGAGTGTTGATAATGGGTATCTAGAGGTAAAAAAATACTTCATTTTTGCTCATTTCTCCTCAGGATTTGAGAGGAACAGAGAACTAAGCCTCCGTCCTTCTCCGTTTGTCCTCTCTAGTCCTAACCTTGGTTTCGAGAACTCTATAAGCAGATATAGATAGGAAAATTGTAAGAATCTCTGCCCCATTTTACTTACAGCCTAACCCACAGGAAAATACAGCAGTCAGACAACATTACGTCAGCAAAGTCTCCAAACTGCAAATTTGCACAATCAACAGGGTTGATCTGTTCCCAGTTCTCTCGAGTTCTGACTTAGAAGTGTTGGCCACCAAGTTCTAGGTACCTGACCAATGGAAGGGCTGCTGTAAGGGTAAGAAGACTAGCCTGGGTACCATCCTGGTTAGTTTACATCCGCTCCCACAGTCGCTACCGACCAAGACTGTGGGAGCGGACGTAAACTAACCAGGATGGAACCCAGGCTATAAGAAGACACCACACTACACCACTAACCTCCCTCTGAAGCCCCCTTCATCCATTTCTCCACTGCGCTCTTGGCGCCCGGCTGCAGCGTCCTGTCCAGGACTTTACTGTTCCTGGCCTTCTCCGCCTCCATCAGGACCCGCTCCACGACAAGCTTGTCCTCCTCCGTCGCCTTCTCCAGCCAGCGCTTAGCCGCAGACCGCGTCCTGGGGTTCAGGGTCTCACTGATGGACTGTGGGGACATCAGTGAAAAGAAGTTGAACTTGACAATTCATATTTAATACTGTTTTTGGGGATACATTAAGCACTTTGACTGTAAATCTTGGAATGTTTGCAGGGGTTTTATTTTCACAGTGTTTGCTGTGACCTCTTACTGTGACATCAATCCTCTGCCCATATTTTTTTTTAAATTCTAACACAAACTTCAAACACGGAAAAAAGAGTGGGCTCCTTTCTCCTACAGTGAAATAAAACCACTGAAAAGGTAACAGAATTTACAGTATCTGTCATAAAGTGGTTTAATTATAACTGTCATTATTTTTGCGATGAAACGTTTTATCTTTCCCATGCACATAACTCACCTGAATTGGAGCCTTGTATTTCTTCTCTTTCTTCTTAATGATCAACTGTGGCTTCGTTCCATTCTCAATCTTAGGCACTGTGGAGACATAAGGCAAATGACACTGTCAATTTTACAAATAGAATAACATCAAGTCCCAAAGTTACAGAGAAGTGCTGATGTTTTCCCAACAAATGACGTAGTTCAATTGCCATATTTCTTTCAGTATGTACCTGATGTACCCTGATGTTACACTTCCTAGCCGTTATCAGGACCAACTACTTTGCTTGAGTACATTATAAGGTTTCTTCGAAGGCTCTATGTGAAAAAGGGAAGTGTTCCTTACAGGTACTTTCCCATGCCTTGTCCTTCTTGGGAGGAGGGTAGGTTTTGCTGAGGTAGTGAGCCGACTCCGCCTGTCTCTCATAGGCCTCGGACTGGAGCTGAAGGAACCAGAAAAAATTCAAGTTGTGCGAAACAAACAGATTTATCAAGTTCTTACTAAATACAGAACTCTGATACAGATGCCATGCAAGACCTAAAAGAGTTATATAATTATGTTAGACGTGCTTTTGCTTAAAAAAATGGGTTTGGCAAATTGATATTAATGTCTGTTCTGGTTTCACTTTTCAAGACTTTCAAACTATTTTGACTTAACTTTTCTATCAAGTTTTGTGGAACTCAAAAATGGTAAAATTTTGATTTCTAAACTGTAAAACAAACCTTAAAATTTGTTATCTGTGTAAAGAGAAAAATAGCATTGCTTGGTTTGGTAGAAGGAGTATTTTCCTGCAGGCCTCACATTTAGCTTGTGGTTGATGGGAGGACTGAAGTGGGTGGTGTCGGTACGCTCGTGCTGCTTCTTCTGAACAAACTGGACAGGAGACTTCTTCTGAACCTTCGCCACCTCGCTCAGGACATCGTTCTCTACTGGTTGTTCTGCAAGCACAAAATAAGGATATTCTAAATGTCAACTCACAGGATAGAGGCAAATGGTGAGCTGCCATCAAGCCTCAGCATCAGAATGCAAGCATGTCTAACCCTCGGAAGATGGGAAACAACAGACAATAAACTGGATAGTGAGTGTGAGTGAGTGTCAGACAAAGTTTAATTATTGCATTCA